AAAACTCTGTGCGATTAGAAATATTTAGACATTCTAATTTATGACATGAATCTGCGATTGCAGTTAGACCTTTATCAATTTTCCATTGAAATAAATTACCTAAAACAGATATATTAAGATACTCCAAATTTGGGTATGATTCTGCTATTAGGTTTAGAACTTTCCCAACAGACTCAGATTCTATACTTCCTTCAAAATCTAAATGAATTATATTTTGGAACCTGCGTACAATGTTTTTGATTTTTTTATTTGAAAGCCGGTAGTCTAATATTTTAATATGAGTTAATTTCGAGCTATAAATTGGTTTACGCCCTCCCTATGTACTATTTTTAAAAATTTTTTTAATTGAGTTCGATCATCCACACCATTTAGCTTAATGCATTTCCATAAAATAGGAGCACTGCATCTGTACCACAATCAGCAAACAAATAGTGCAAGGTAGAGAGATTTATCTATTAATAAGAAATGTAAAATATGTTCTAGTAATTCCTGTATATTAAAAACACTTATATACGCCATAAATAATGTGTATTATATGCTGTATCTTTAATCGAAAAAAATCTTTTGAGCAAGATTAAAGGCACTTTGCATGGATCACTACTTCGAACTAAGCCTTTCCACTATCTCATCTAATGCAAGTACCTGTAAACCATCTTTAAGAACTGTAAACGTATTCTCAGGTGATAATCCTTTTAATAATGCGCATTTAAGAAAATTTTCACTATAGTTGAAACTCTTGTTACACTCTTTCAGCTTCAAATAAAAATCCTTGACTGTATTTTTGCCTTGAACCAATGACATGATACAAAAATTGAAAAGAGTCTTTTGTCGTACTTTTCTTTGGTACTTATGAGGAACGGTCTTTTTATCTCTTACCTGATTTATCTCAACTGAAACAGAATCTTCGGAAGATTCAGATGAATAGGAGAAACCCTTACATTTTTTGATCTTTGGCGAGAATGCTATTTTCTGTATTAAGTCGACCACAGTTTTCCTATCCACACATTTATCTAGATCTTTTAATTCGTCTTTTAAGGATCTCACATCTTTCTCCAACCTTTTTACCCTCCTTTCTAAAGTATTAGGTTGGGAATGATAATCTTCCAATTGTTTCTTTAGTGTCATATTTTCACCAAAAAGTACACTATACACTTTTGCATTTTGCTCGTCTAGCCCAAATATCTGGGCTAATTTTTCTGTGTGTCTGATAACTTCCTGCTCACTAGGTAACTATCAGATGAATTTATTTGTTCGGTTACCATTTTTGTGATATATTATATACGCTATATTTTGCCTTAAGCGAAAAAATAAATTAATAAATGATATCCCAACCTCTAACTCTTATATGTGGCTAGTTTTCATCAGAGATCTGGAATGACCTTGCCTGATGATACGGTTCTCTTCTTTTACGCATATTGACATTAGTATATCTCTTAGATGGAGAAGAATGGTTGTCAGGACTATAGCGAAGGGATTCACTGGCATAAGTGTTAGCTTTTGATGGATTTTTTGGACTATATACTTCACTTGCAAATACTGATCCTAATTTATGCAAAGAGGTAGGAAGTAGTGGTTCACGACTTTTTGTTTCAGGAATAAATTCATCCTTTTTAGAAATTTATTTAAGAATTTAACTCCAGGACTTCCTGGATCCCCTAACTTTCTAGAAGATATAGCTTCCTGAATCCATGTAAGCAATTCTCTTGCCCATCTCTCATTCGTTTCCAGCGATCTAAAGACCCGAGGAATATCTTGTTGACCCCGATTTTTTGCATAACCTGTTACACCTGCATTAGATATGCGCAAGTTTTTAATTTCAGAAGGACGAATGCATAACATGATCATCACATCAGCTAAGGCCTGTTTATCGGGTATATTAGACACATCATACAAATCTAGCCTCTCCTTAACTGATTCTAATGAAAAGTGGTCTGGAAAATCAATCCCTTCATTTTCACATTGATCACTTCGCGCCTTTTGAATTTTGTTAGATGCACAAGTTATTTCTCGGTCAAACATAGCAGAAGTTATTTCTTCTGGAGCATTAAGATTTCACAATTCCCTTCGAGCCCTAGATATACGTGATGAACCAACAACAGCATCAGTAACTGTTTCGACTAAGGCTCTACGTATTGCCTCTACTTCTTTTTTGCTAAGATTATCTCGTATAATACGCTGAGCCATTTCTTTGATAGTCTCTCCTTCTGGAATAATATCAGATACTTGGCATATATTTACTTCTGCTTCTGACTCCTCTTCTTGAGAAGTTACTTGTATTTTAGCTCGACCAGTTCTTTGAGAGGGGACTAGTATGGATATCTGCTCTTTGCTAAAACCATATCCATCTTTAAGACGCCGACGACCCTTATCTCTTTTCGTTCCATCTATCAAGAGCTTGAGTAATTCTGGGGTGTGTTGGCTAAGTTCTTCATTACTCATATCTTTACTGAGTTTGCGGTCTGTAACGTACTTTGTTATAATTGCAGACATGATAATGTAAGTAGAGATTATAGATCAGCTATTAGATTATACTAAACCGTTAGATTATACTACGCATAAAAAAGTTCAATTCAAAAAAAAATATTCCTGATAATTTACTACGTGATTCCTCTAGAACCCGTACATATTCAGTGAAAGGTCAGATGAGCGAAAAAATATATAACTAATGCGAATGACCTAGTCAAAAAGGGTATTTCATTAATTTGAAATCTACAGATAAATAAGATATGCGAAAAAATATATAGTCATGGAATGTGGGTTCCATAGCTATAAACAAATTTTCCTATATCGTAATTATGTCTTAGTAAAGTGCTCGCATTAGAGCTAATATATGTTCTGGTCCTAAAACATTCGTCTTAGT